AAAAACAACTATTAAAGGTGAAGAAAGGTATGTAAATAAAAGAACAACAACAACAAAAAACTAGGTCCTCTCTAAGCCAAGATTTCTCTAATTTAAGAAGATACATTATATGGCCTATGTGTACATATATTAAGACTTAAAAGGCACTCTTAAAAAATGAATAATAAGATCAGGAATGAGTTTTAGTCCCCAAATATATTATCTTAATTTGGCTCAACACCTGGGTTTAAGCTAGAAATTTCTCATTCATGAAATTCAACTTTACTATCAATGTATTTACTGTAACATAAACCTTATCCATGCTGACACCACTATACTCAGAATTTAGCGGAGGTATTTCTCTTCAGAGGAACAAACAATGAGTAAAGAAAATATGTAAGATGTTTACAAAGTTTCAATCTTTTATAAACACTCCTTTCAAGTAGTGAGAAACAACTACTTTTACAGAATGGATATACTAAATAAAATGTTGATTTTGTTTATTTGTTAAAAACACAGTTCTCTCTCTCTCTTTTTTTTTTTTTTTGGTGGTGCTGGGGATTGAACCCATCGCCTTGTGCATCAGAGGCAAGCACTCTACCAATTGAACTATATCCCCATTCCCAAAAACACATTTCTTTAAAACTTTACACACAGCTTAGGCCTTAGATGAGCTTTGCCAGCTTCATGGAATGACTAGGTACAAGTAAATCTTGACAATGCAAGTTTTTGCAATTTAATCTTATCAGAAAAATGATAAGTCTGAGCTTTTATTGTGATAGAACTTTTTCAGTATTGTTCCCACTATGATTAATAAGTAGCATCATACTCACTTGTATAAAAAAGTTTATAGCACAGAAAAAAAGGCAAACATATTCTTCTTCCAGGGGGAAAAGTAAAAATGCATCTACTAAATTAACTATAAATACTAGAAGAGTATAATATAACCATGCAGAATCTAGAACATATTCTGCAAATCAAACACTTCCATATGCTGGGACTAAAGTGAGAAGAGTAAAACTATCTTTTCAGTGATATCCACTCAGCAATCACTAGAGGCAATGCCACCATCAACTACGAATGCTCTCAGTATTCTCATCTCCTTAGAGTCTATCCAAGCCATGGCCCCAGAATGGGCTCTGAAACAATACTAAGTAAAATACAAAGAGCAAACAAGTCCAGTCACATACATCAAGGCATAGACTGGCTAACTTTTTCTGTAAATGGCTCCCTTGGTCATACAGTTTCTGTTACAACTTCTCAATTATGCCATTAAAGGAATAATTTAAATAATTTAAATAAAAATTTATTTATAAAACCAGGCTGGATTTAGTTCATAGGCCATAGTATGCCAATTCATATTATACTGAACAATGAAGGTACTTTGTTCATCTAATAAAAATGAAGAACAAGTGTTCATGTTTTTCTCATTCTCTTCCATGCTTATCCTCTGAGAAAAGAAAACTTTAGTTGGTCATGACAACAATGGTAACTACTTGTAGACTTTTGTTCCTTGAAGATTAAATAGCACTTAATCCACTTTCTTCCTTTCTCTGTATTAGTAAAGTCAAAGATTTGGATCAAAAGGCCAAGAGTTTTAATCCTGGCTCCAATCCCTTTTCCCACACTAAATCAAAACTTTTCTCATGGAGACAAAGACAGTTTTGTATCATTTCTTTAAACAACATAATTTAATAACATTTGAAACACACATTTATACAAACAAAACTAAATAAAAGACTACATGGAAGTTACATGATGTTTATTATACCAGTATTTTACTCTTACAGTGTATTCGAATTGTTTCTCAAAACGAGGGTACTTTCTAAACTAAAATTCCATGGTTTCTAAATTTTAACATTAATTTTGGGGTGCTTTAAATAACCAGTAATACTATTCTGTATTTTGCCTTTGGACAGGTTACTCAATTTTTAGGAATTACATTTTACCATAATTTGAGAAGAACTTGAAGACTTTTGCTATCCTTTGAAGTACTCTCTTTTCTTTCACATGCTACCTTTTTTAACCAGTAGATCCCAAATTTGATAGAATACAAGGAGGATGATACCAGGAGCTTAAAGAAAAGCATTCCTTCTCTATCTCATTTGAACTGACAGTAGGCCCCAGGACATTATGTTTTTAAAGGCTTTGGTGTCACCCATGAAAATATTTAAGGTTCCTAAAAGAAGTAAAACATACTGAGAAAATATGAGGATAGTTAATTTTCAGAAGATAATACCCCTTCAACTTTCAAGTTAAGGTTGTAAATGCCAAGAGTGTAGGAAAAAAAATTAAAAAAATAGGTATCAAAAAGAAATTTCTGAGATTTGGAATTTGTGTATAATCAAATAAAGCGGCCAAATTTTTGATCTTCTGATTAATATTTTTAAAACAAATTTTTTTGGTAGTTGTAGATGGACAGAATGTATTTATTTATTTTTATATGGTGCTAAGGATTGAATCCAGTGCCTCGCAAATGCTAGGCAAGTGCTCTGTCACTGAGCCACATCCTTAGCACCTGATTAATAGTTTTTTTAAAGGGCAAAATTATGCCCAAACTGCTTGATATTACCATGGTTTCTAAGTGTGAGAAATGTGTTAAAATTACAGCTACTCCCATGAATCATCAAAGGTGTTAGTTATATCACTGTGTATATGTTGTGGCAGTAATCCCTTTCCTGATAGCAATCCTGCTGCATCAGGTAGTTTTTCAGAATTGATGTATTATCTTTAGAATCAATATACATTATCTTTCAGTGGTTTAAAATAATTAACAGATTAAAACCTGAAATTAATTTGAAATTTACAAAGAATCAGCTTCACAAGTATCTAAAAACTATATAATACAATATAACAGCAAAGACATCCACAGGTGTTACTTGTTATCCTCTTCTCTTATTAGCTCTATTTTAGTAGAAAGTTAAACACCTTGGTGAATATATAGAGTTTAACAACTGTATCACTATGGTTTGTGATTACTTTTTAAAAAGCTCTCTCCTGGCTAGATACTGCTCCTCTCTCCATTTACTTCTCCTCTGCCTCCTCAATTTCCTAAAGCAATATGCTTCCTATGGTCCAAATCTTAGCCTTCTTTCCATATTGGTCCTCTTAGCAATTTTAATGACTTCTGTGACTTCAGACAATACTACCATACAGACAAATTTCAAAACTATACATCTAATCATACACTGAATCTTCAGTTCTGGACCTGAGTTTATCTTCCCAGCTTTATTGAGCTGTAACTGAAAAATAAGACCACATATATTTAAGGTATATACGTGCTGTTTTTTTTTTTTTAATATATATTTTTTAGTTGTAGAGGGACACAATATCTTTATTTATTTATTTTTATGTGGTGCTGAGGATTGAACCCAGGGCCTCATGCATGCAAGGTAAGTGGTTTACCACTGAGCTACAACCCCAGCCCACATGTGCTGTTTTGACATATCTATAATTATGAAATGATGACCACAATCAAGATAATTAACATTATCTGTCCCCTCTCAGTTGCCTATTTTCATGATGAGCACTTATGATCTACTTTTAGTAAATTTCAAGTATATACCACCATACTGTATATATCAGGTTTCCGCAAGTTACATCATCTTATAACTAAAACTTTATACCCTTTGACCAACATCTTCCCATTTCTCCCTGACACCTTTTACTCTCTATTTCTGCATTCAACATTTTTAGATTCCACATGTAAGTGAGATCACGCAACATTTTTTTCCTGTGTCTAGCTTATTTCACTTAGTAACACATCCTCTAAGTTCATCTATGATGTTGTTACAGATGGCAGAATTTCCTTCTTTTTTAAGACCAAATAATATTCCATTGCATATATACACACTTATTTTTACTCATTTATCCACTGCTGGACAGAGTGATTCCATATCTTGGCTACTGTGAATAATGCTGCAACCAACATGGGAGTGCAGATCTCTCTTCAGGATAGTGATTTTATTTCTTGAAAAGTAGGATTACTGCATTTTTTTTTTTAATTATTTGTTTTGGTAGTACTGGGGATTGAACCCAGGGGAACTCTACCATTTAGCTATACTCCCAGCACTTTTTATTTTATAGTCTGAGACAGGGTCTTGCTAAGTGGCTGAAGCTGGCCTTGAACTAGCAATCCTCCTGTCTCAGCTTCCTGAGAAGCTGGAATTAGATGTGTGTGACATCATACCCAGCCTATTTTTAATTTTGGGGGAACCTCTACACTATTTTCCATAAAGGTTGTATCAATTTATATTCCTACTAACAAATGTATAAAGGCCCCCTTTTCTCCAAAACTGTCTCTATGGCTCTGGGTCCATATTTTTAAATTGCTCCAGATTTACATATGGATTACTATTATAGGTCAAATGGCAGGCTAGAGAGCCCTGGGAATATCCAGAAATTGTAGCAAAATGATGCATATGTATGCACATGTGCATTTCTTCTTAAGCAAAAGATCATAATCTTATTCAGACTTTCATATGTATATGTGACCACAAATTAAGATAAACTCAGATATGTCACACAAATCACATACCAGACCCACTGAATACCAGGCAAAGTATTTTTAAAAGGAAAAACAAAGTCTAGAATAATCTAGTAAAAGTTTTTTCCATGGCTAACCTTACCAAGGAGTAGATTTCTGAAGCTTGCTAGCATCTTCTAAAGTAAATAGGTTGGCAAACTGCATCTGTGGGCCATTGTTTTAAATAAATAAATAAAATATTGGGACATAGCCATGCACCCATTCATTTACATACTGTCTATAGTTGCTTTTGTGATACAAACACAGAATAGATACTGTACAGCTGGCATGCCTAAAATATTTATTATTTGGCCCTTTAAAAGAAAGTATAGTTTCCATCTGTTCTTTTAGATAAAAAATGTCTAAACTGAGGATGAAAAACAGACCTAATATTAAATAATCAAAAGAAAATCTATCTTCTCATTTTACTGCGTATTATAGATGCATGTATGAAGAAAACATAATCATTTTATTTTAAACAATAGAGTGTTATTACCTGCCATTACTGGGCTGCTGTGGAGAGTGTCTGGAATGATCAGAGGGTTCTGATCGTTGGTCAGGAGATCGTGACCGGCTGCGTCGAGGATGCCTGTCATGTGAGCGACCGGAATGATCTGATGCTAGTGACTGAATTTCTGAAATGTCTGTTAAATAAAAGGGTATTATTTAATTTTCCATGAAATGATGTACAGTCAAGTATTAAGACACTCCAGTGATATTGGAAATAAGGTAAGCATAATTTTGTACAAAATGACACTAATTTCATCAGTTAATGATTAGATCAACACTGATGAGCTGCTTACAGAGAAAAAAAAAAAACCTATATGGAGATGTAATATTTAAATTCTGAAGGTATCTGGTTTGTAGAAAATTAACATATCACTCAAATATGTCAAGTCTTTCCAGTAGTTTAATAAAAAGTCATTTGGGACCCTCCAAACAGAACTATACTCACCATCTCTTTCAGATGCATTAGCAGAATGAATACTGTCAGAAAGATCAGGGACATTCAATAGAGTGGCCCGTTCATCTCTTTGAACTACCATTTTTAACTTGCCTTTAGACCTTTCTATCAATGTCTTTGCATCTGTCAATGACATATTTTCTGTCACAGTACCATTTATCTGCAAGAGAAAAGATACTGCAGAAGTAAATAACAAAAGTACAAATGTTCATTCTGTTATAAACAGAAATATCCAAACTACTCATTGACTAGTTATAAGAACCAAAATATTCCCCTTATATTTTTCTAAATCATCAAATTATTCCACCTTCTGAAATGATAAAAATTTAATTTATTACTCTGTTGTTCTGTTGGATAAACTCAAATTAGTATTCCCTAACCCCTTCCCAAAGTCTGTCCCATCCTAACTTATAAACAAACAACTAAACATTTCAATATCTGGAGAAATTATCAAAACCACTCAATGTATAACTGAACAGACATCTCTATCTACCAAGTACCTCCTGCTGATGAATGATATATATTAACAAACTTTATTCTCTCCATAGCTAAAATATTATTGTTGACATGTAAGAATGGACAGGGGCAATCTGGGTCACTCTCCCCAAACACAGATTTTTAATTTTCTTTGGCTAAATTAATTCAAACAGGAGTAAAGGATGGGTAATCTAGGATCTGTTTTTTAGTTTGGTTCATTAAAATATAAGAATATGACTATACCTTCAATACAACATCACCTTCTTGAATATTGCCATCTCTTGCTGCCAAACTATCTTGTGAAATTTCCTTTACAAATATATGGCTGGCCAATCGAAGACCGTATTCTGGAATAATATATTTAAATGTCTTTAGTGTAAAATATTAAAACACATAAGTAGAGTTTAAAATATCAGGATAATAATAATCACTGCAAAAACAGATTTTTACTCAGAACATTAGCTTATGCTACTATATATTAATACAACTGTTCACAACCAGCCTGGCAAGTGTGAACAGGAGTTAAAATGCTAGACTTCCTCTTTATATACCCAACAAAGTATCCCAGAGTGAGGCAACATTGTGTCTGCTGGTGAGAAAGTTACCAGGAAGAGACCAGAAAACTTTCTGGTTCTTAAAAAAGCTTTATAAAATGTATTTTTTAAAGAATAAGACTAACAACTAAAACCATCAGTGTAGTGTCAACAGGAAAAGAGATGTCCTTGGTTCTATAAGGAGAAAAAGAAGGACTCTAAGTGTTACTGCATTAAAAAACAAAAACAAATACACATACACAAAAACCCAAACACACATGAAGCAAAATTTTGAAAACTAAGATGGAAAACAGAAAATTGTTTTTATTCTGAAATAAAATTAGCAGGCTTGTTACTCAAGCATCTAAAAGTACCATCAGCTACAATTTAACATAAGATAAATACACTAAGAGTGCTCACAAGCAGGAAAAGAACCAAGGTGAAAAAAGAAAATGACTTTTTAGGGAATTAGGCAAGGAACTGTGCTCTGGAAATGGTCATTAAATTACAAAATATAGCACTGATTAGAAGACTGTTCTTCAAGATTAAAACTTACAAATCACCATTATTATACGTGATCCCAAAATATCCCCTAGATATTATCAGTTAACCCAAGTATTTCATTGGATATAAATTCAATAACTATGTTTCAGGCACTATAAATAAAACAGCATATGAGAGACATTCCCAGTCCTGTGGCAACGATACAGCCAGTGGAGAAAAACAAGTTACCACAGCAATTAAAAGTGCTATAAAGAGCTCAAATAGTAGAAATAAATGTAGGTTCTTGCATTAAGTGGGGGGGACGGAGGGCAGAGATGGTCTCTTCAAGAAAGAAATACTAAAACTTTGCCAAAGAAATACTAAAACTAAATATGAAGGCTGTTTTTGTGTACAGGGAATTGGGGGTGTTGATAGAACAGTTAAAAACAAATGCATCATAAAGTATGAAGGAAAAAAACCTGGCGTGTATATGTGTGTGTGTGTGTGTGTGTGTGTGTGTGTATAAATCTTAGGTCGAGTATAACTGAAACTGAAAAATAACAAATAGTCAAAAGAATAAGACAGAAACATCACAAAACAATCTACAGAACCCACTGAAAGAGATCCAGGGCATAGTCATGAGAATAAACAAAACCACTAAAGAGACAGTGGTGGCCTGGAAAAGGGCAATGGCAGTAAAGACAGACAAAAGTAGAACAGAAAAGAGTAGCATTTAGGAAGTTAGAATATATTCATAATGCATAGGTTATGGTTTGGATATGAGGTGTTTCACAAAAGCTCATGTTTATGCAGGAATATTCAGAGGAGAAATGACTGAAATGTAAGAGCTGTAATCTATCAGCCCATCCTAGTTTGAATGAACTGACTAGGTAGTGACTGTAGACTGGTAGGGCATGGCTGAAGGAGGTGGAGGACTACTGACATGCCCTAGAAGGACACATCTCCCTATGGCCCGCCCTTTCCACCCCCACCTCTGCTTCCAGACCCCTACTATGAGCTAAGCAGCTTTCCTACAATGACTCTCCCCATTTCTTTGGGCTCAAATAAATGGAATCAGTCATCTATGGACTGAAACCGTGAGCCTCAAAAAAAGTTTTCCTCCTCTAAGTTATTCTTGGGTATTTTGTTCACAGCAATGCAAAAGTTGACTAAAACAGAAATCTACCATGTTATATGTGACTGGCTTGAGAAACCAGGTTCACATGAAAATATTCAATCAACAACTTTAAAGATACAATAAAAACTTTAAAAGGAGTTGTGCTTCATATGAGACATGTTAGGATGTTCTACATGGAACATCCTAACAAATAACATAGAAACACACAAATGTGGGCTGGAAAAATTAGTGAAGCCATTATTAGCAGTGACCTGAGGCAATGAGAGTAATTGAGGTGGCTGAAGAAATCATATTAAGTGAAGAAGAGGGGAGAATCCTACAGAACATTAAAAAAAAAAAAAAGTAATAGAATAAGCAGTTTCATCTTTTAAAAATTTGAAAAATAGATAAATAAATAAATAGAGTTTCCAACAAATTAAGAATGAAGAAAAAAAAAAAGTAAAGTTGATGAGGGGTAAGGTAAAGCAGTTAGGCTTCAGTTTCAAAAATGTTTTTAAAAGTCCTGCATTATGAAGAAATGACCTATAAGAGGTTCCTTCTTTCAATCTCTCCTTTTAAAAACAGCATCCTCTCTAACCAACCCTTCCAAAAATGTCCCAAGATATCCCCACCCCATGGTAATAATATGACTGATCCCTACAGCTAAGAAAATCACTGAATTTCAATATGATGATGTTGTAACATTTCTTGTTGGCATAATATATAAATGGCTGTTCTTGTCACAATAACAAATCTAAAATCCAACTAGTAGACAATTTATTTGAAGTGCAAACAGTTCCAACAAAATGATTTAAGAGAAAATGAACAATCCCTAAAGCCTGCCATAATAGAATTTCACTTATAACAGGACACAAATATAAAACAGAAATAGAACCACAAAGCAAAAGACATGAAAATATCGCAACTGTACTTATTAAAAATAGCCTTAATATTTTTATGTGAAAGTAGTAATGCAAGAGTTGGTAGGGAATACCTTCATTTTTTCGGGATTTCACCAATGTGACTTTGGTGGGTTTGGCAGGCTGACTGGAGGCCACTGATCGCCTATCTGATCGTGGAGACAAGCTCCGCTCTCTACTTGCACTTCTATCCCTTGCCCAACTCTTCTCACTTCTTCTGTTAACCAGACCACCATGGCCACTTCTTGGATCATGTACTTCCTCATCATAACTGTCTTCATCATTATCAGATACTGGTTCAGGATCAGGACGACTTACTGGTATTTGAACTTTCTTTTTCCTTCGAATTGTCTATATTAAACAGAGAGAGAGAGACATTTATTAGATAAACTGCTTGATTTTCATCCATATAATTTCAGTTCCTAAGAGAGAGAACAATACATTTCTCTTGTCTCATATTAATTTAAATATGAATGAGAGAGATAAAACACAAAATTACAAAATAACATATTTCTATAATGGCTGCTCTTTTCTCAGTGGGTCTACTAAGTCCTTATTTACTTTATCCAGAAAGCTTACAGGGAAGTTAATGATTGTTGGTGGCTGGAACAAAGGATAGGCACTGTAATGTCATCAAATATACTGTAGATGTTACCAAAACACCAGAGCAACCTTATAAGCCCAATTGCTTCCTTCATTATATTTTTAGAATGCATCAATATCCAGTTGCACAACTGCCCAGCCAGACTTCTAAGAGAGAAATTTATTTATCACACACTAACATTCCACTTAGTATGCTGGAGCTATTAAATAGGCTATACTCCACCAACACCAAGTGCCTTCCATTTCCATATTGCTCCAATTTATACCCTCTGGCATAGGTGCAAGGTCGGTCTTCTGGCATCCTTTTCTCAACACTCTGTGTTCCCTGTCCATTTATTTCTTTCACTCTAAGTTCAAGATCTATACATATTAATGTCTGATTGAGTGGCCCTGTAATCCTTGGACTACACTTGATTTCTCACACAGGTATATATTGGGTCACTTCAGAGATATCTGAGAGCTTCTTGGGTAACGCTTTACTTCTACTCCACACAACTTCATCTACTGAAACTTTCACTGTCTATCTTATTTCTAGTTCTTCCAGCCTTGTCTATTCTTTCAGTCCATCAATTCTCTCCTGGCTTCATTTTCCTTCCTCCCAAGTTTGCATCAGACTCCATGCTGCCATATGTAAATGACTTTCTACTCACCCCTCAATCATCTGCTAATAAGAGTGAGTACAGTATTAAATTTACTTTGGATGGCTGCATTTCTACATTTTTCTGATTAGGTCCTCTATAAGTTCATTTTACTTCACAGAAATTTTTCTCTTATTCCCCAATTCTTTCATCTACATCTTGCTGCCTCTCAATGGAGAGGCACAGGTATTTTACCAAAGTTGTTCTCCAAGGTCCTACTCTCTCAGTCTGCTTCTAGAGATCAGTGCTATTTTGTTCCCCTTCCACTTCTAAGTACTTTCGATCTCTCTCTCTTGCCCCCCGCCTCTTTTTTGAACTTCTGGTTTCTAATCCCAAAGACCAAGGGGGATCTTCTATGGGTATGAAGAAAACCATTCCATTTGAGCTCCATTCCTGTTCCTACCCACTTCCAAGATCTTCCTTCATCAGTTACCATTCTCCAAGTTATTTGCAACTTCAATCTCTCCCTATCTACTTCAAATCTGTCCTCAGTTCACAAATCTCCCAATTAACCTTCTGTGTTTCTATCTTACTACTTACCTTCAAGTTGTATCTAATCTCTTCTCTTCACAAGCCAATTTGTTTGAAAGGGTGATCTACACTAAATACTTTTTGCTTCCAAGGACTTGAGGGTTCTTACTCTATTAACTATTCAATGAAAGAGCCTCCTGAGGACATTCCAAGACAGTATACAGTCTTGTGGTTTACCTGGAAATCAGTATAGATAATATTTCAAAGGAGACAGCCTATTGGTTTTGATTAAATATTAAAGAAGAGTGATAGAGCTAACCTTTATCTGTAAGTTTTGAATCAATATTGCTTCATCCCACGTACAAAACTATTTTTTCTACAATTTTTTTTAGTGGGGATTATAAAGGAAAGTAAAATGTTTTATGATTTTGCTTCAGTGACTTCAAAACAAATTAAAAATTCTAAACTCTGAAAAAAAAATTACCATTGCTTCCTACTAAAAGAAAGATTAGAGCGGGCCTTTCTGAAAAAACAAAAAACACAAACTTTGCTACTGAAGAAAAAGAAGCAACAAGAGGCCAGCATGTGGAAAGAACAATCAATGTTCTGTTATGAACTGACAGAAGGCTAATCTTCCCCTCTCAGTATACCTATACTGGTAGGTCCTTCTCAGGTAACAATTACTGAAAGCATCCCTGACTGATTCCCTGCTTTTAAGTCTCATATCTACTTCAATCTCCAACATACTGCACTGGGAGTAATACTCTATGTTTATGCCTTAATCTTCAATTCCTCCCTAGTAAAATATAAATAAAAACAAAGTCATCAACTTCCAGGCCAGAATTACTAGAAGCACCTCTTTGGAACTCTACTATATCTCAATGACTCTCAATATCATGTTATAGGGCATTACAGTTAGTGTGTATACCCATCTAACCTACCAGATTCAAGTTCCTTGCCATTCATTCAATTGTACATATAACAAAATATCTGAACCTAGCAGGTACTTAAGTTACTGAAAAATATCCAGTTCTGTTATGATTCTTCATTTATATTATGGTTAACCATTATAATTTCACTTGAATGATATTCAGAGCAGGTTTGACAACCTGCTTAAGGTTTAACTATGAAAATTTTGGAACAAATGTTTTTTGGGAAAAATGCCTACTTCCAAATAGTTAACTAAATTACACGTTCAAATATAAAATAAAACAAAATAAAATCATGTATGTATGAGAATAAAATTATCAACAGAGGCTTTTAAAATTCTGCTATGGCCTTTGTGAGCAAGGCACTAAAAGAAGAGCCAGTAAAGTACAAGTCTGACAGACTGACAACATAAAATCAAATGTTTCCATGTTGAAACAGAATTATATAAAAACAAACAAAAAAACAGTATATGAAGTACATATAAGTTATATATAATAACTTATACTCACAAATGCCAAATGGGAAAACAATGTATTAGTGTACATGACAGAAGGCTAATAATCTTAACACATAAAACACTTCTACTCTCAGATAACTTGCAAGGGCTGTGAACAGGAAAAAGAAACATAAAAGGTAGTGAACACACTATGAGAGAATCAACCCCACTAGTGATTATAAGTATTTTTTTAAAAAATAATTGTATTTAGTTTATCAGTTTGGAAAAGATTCAAAAAGTACTGAATTCTCACTGTCCTACTGATTTTCTGAAGTGCAATACATATAAAGTCATTTATGTCTTCTAGCTCCAAAAACTCTCATTTCTAAGGAACTTATTACCAAAAACTAACTAAACAAGTAAGTAGGAAGTGACAACCTTCACCACAATATTATTATTATTTTTTAATACTTACGGAAACTGGATACTGAATTGCCCATCAGTAAGTGGTTTGGATAAGTATATGCATACTGTAAGTGAAATGCTGCACAGCCATGTGGAGGGTTCACAGAGGTTATCATTAGCAAAGTGTTTTTTGCATCTTCATTTGTTCCACAATGCTTTCTCAGTATGTTCAAACTTTCAGTGAAATTTTTATATGCTCACTGCGGTATAAATGATAAATCTATTTCTAGCTTCTTCTAACATTTTAATTAAATTTAATTTAATTTACTGAGCCTACTGCCCAAAGGCCTTTTAGTCTATGGAAAAACAATCATCTAGACAGATCATGGCCACAATGAAAGACCACATAGATCAATAGGTTGGGAAACAGAGAAGGAGAGATGGTTATTTGGATATGGGGAGATCATGTTATATACTGTATTATATAAAATATAATAGGGAAATAAAAAAAATTTACCCAAGGTTCTCACCTTAAAAATATGCCAAGTGACCTATCTGAAAAATATTACTACTAATTATAATGTTCAGGGTAAATAGCTAAAAATCAAGAAATCTAAATAATTATATATACACACACACATACACATGTATATAATATGACCTTGAGGTTTTTGATGATCTAGTTATGACTAAGGATAAAGTTAGGGAAAAAAAAGCTTCAGATGAAAGAATATATACTAAGGCACTGGAGGTTTTATTCTAAGTGTCATGTGGAGATGAAAGACAATATAAATTAATGACATGATTCAAGTTGTTCAAATATGGAAATAAACAAATATTCTTTCCTGATTAAGATACTTTACCACCAGAGCCCTCAACATCCTCTCCCCATAAGAGAAAAAAATACATGGCCAAGCCTCCCAAGTTCCTTCTGTCCAACTGGTAAAGCTTTGAGCTGCCCAAATCCTTTTCCTTACATGCTGGGCCCAATATGTGTAATTTCAAACAAATTCTTGGTAAAGACCTTCTTATAAAATCATTTTATGGTGAACAGTAGAAGTACAGGATTAGAACTTTCTTAGATACACTATCAGTGTAAAGTTATGTACAGTAAATATTTTGCATGGAAAACACAAAACAGCTCAACATTACAGAGGAATGGAAGGCTTAAAGTTAGGAGGATGTGTGAAACTCACCTCCTCAAATGCAAAAGGGAAATCTAAAGCTTATTTGACAACAAAGCTTATAAAAACAATGAAATAGGTCATTATAAAAATAAGCAATTTACTTGTGTAAACACTGAAATCTTATCTTATAAAAATTGTTTTAAAATTTTTGCCATCCACTAGACAATCTGTATATTAACTATAATTTTCAAATGTTATGATTGTAAAAAATTATTATAATGAGACTGTGAAAACATCAAAATAGAAGGTGTCTCTTATCTGGAACAAAGCAATACCTAAATATTGGCTCTACTGCAATATGAGAAAAATGCTCATCTCCCAGCAATGACATTGGTGTGAAGATAACACTATGTAGCATGGCAGCCTGCACAGGGCAAGAGGGCCTAGCAACTGTTGGGTACAGTCTTGGAGAACACCGCTTCTGGCTTTCATGATAGTTCCCAGAGGTCAAAACGCAATGCATGCATCCCTTCAGGCCTGTCTACTGGGTCCACTGTGGTTCTGAGTGCTTACTGGAAGGTAGAAAGGTTCTCAAAGGACCAAACAGGACAGACCACCTAGCCTCTGCATCCTGCTCTTGTATACCCGAATTCAGGCTTCAAGGGGTGCCTCAATCAGTCCTTCAGAAGACAGATGGGGTTAAGTCAGGTGAGGAAAAAAGTGGGTGAAGAAGCTCATGTGCTCCTCGATATCAACATCATAAGACTTCTACAACAAATCTGTTTTATGCCACATTTCCCAAGTTTTAACTGTGATCTGAGGCAGGTTATTGAGAGAGAACTGAACTTTACCCTTTAAAAAAGTAGAATTTTCAGAGAAATATGAACTATAATAAAGATTCTAGCCATATAAAAAGCAGTAAAATGAAATATACCCTGAACAACTCTACAAAGAAAATATGAGACTTTCTCCTCAAACTCAGTCACAGCAACAAGCTGATGAGGTAGATTAAAGAAACAATATAAGTAAACAAATATTTCCAAGTAAACAAATATTACAAGAAAACAGGGCCACATATTTTAAATTATTTGCCAAAATTCAATCTAACCAAAATACTTAAGAGAGAAGGAAATAATATTAAACCATAAAGACCACTTGATTACTTCTTTTCCTTTTGTAATTGAAAAAATAAAAATCCCAACATCTAAACTTTGAACAAATATACAGAAATATTAGAAGCAGCACTCTTACTTTGAACAACTAACTCTGGAACTTTTGTTTCAGTTTTCATTTTCCTAAAGGGAAAGACAAATTCAAACACCAGAGAAGTATCAACAGCAGATGGTATACTTCTAATGAACTAAAAAGATACTTACAATTTTTGCATTTTTCCCACTCTTCCTGAGTTGCTGAACAGCAAAAGCATGTTCAACATTGTCCATTGAAACTCCATTAACCATTGCAACTCGGTCATTTTCCCTACGGGGGAAAAAGGCACCGAACAACATGTTAGAGAAAACTCTACAGTTAAGTTTATGAAGAAGTTTCTTTAAAAAAAAAAAAAAAATTCTTCTAATTATGGACAATCTATCTGTCTTCAAAGTGATGATATATAATGTCAAACTTTTTGCTTGATGAACTTTCACAAAAATGTTCAGGAAGTAACCAACCCCAGGCCATTTTTGTAACTATTAACACAGTATTTCCCCAAAGGACAAATCAGGTAGCACAATAGAGGAAACAATTATTGGCAGTTCAATTACAGTATTAGGTGATACTAAATTATCTCATCTAGCTAGGAAAAAAAAATCATTCCCTTTTTAAAAGGTAAATTCTTGGGCTGAAGATATACCTCAGCGACAGAGCTTGTGCCTAGCATCCACTGAGATCCGAGTTTGACCTCCAGTACCATCAAAAAGAAAAAAAGTTCATTCTTTCTCCTTTTACATTTCTTATTATCCTTCTGATTATAATCCCATTTTTAACTGTATTTTTTTTATTCTCCTTGTCTTGCTACCCTCTTTATCATACAAAAAGAGCAAAACTTGGGGTGAGAGGCTCCTGAAAGCTAAAGTTTACCTAAATTGAGTTAGCAAAATCATTAGAAAAGCAGGACAGTGACAGGACAGGAAAGAGCTTGTCACACAGGCGCCTGAAAGAAGAAAAGCACTTACTGTAGCTGTCCTTCAGCTGGTCCTCCTTTCAATACATCTGAAATCACTATTGAGGTTTCTCCACTCTGAAAATGAGGATTATCTCTTCCACCAGATATTGCAATCCCAAATCCAAATCCAGGAGCCTAAAGTAGTAATTACCGTAAATTATTGCTACTAAAGACAAAAATAATTGCTCATTAAGGTATATGCTATAATCTAAAAAATTACACAAAAATAGTCATTCTGTGGTCTATACTTTGCTTATATGATTGTGTATTAGAACTATAGACTCTTATTATAAGAATACATTCTCTAATAAATACTAAACATAATAATATTAAAAAATTTCAATTACATAAATGTTAAAAACTACAATAATTTAAAAATTCTGAACATTGAAGTCTTGATTTCTGATTATGAGAAGAGGGCCTAAGGGTACTGGCAGTACCTAGTGTCGATCATCACAAACAATGGCAACTAATTTAGAAAATGACACACTAAACTAGCATACAACACCATTTGTAATTCAATTTAAAAAGTAGACTTGAAAATCAAATATTAGTTCAACTTCAATTATTCTAAAACTTTGAGTAAGTAAATCTTTATAGAAGTAATAAAGTTATGAACACACTGTATATATTAGCTGTATGAATTACACATTAGTTATGTCAAACAAGCATTTTTACATATATTTTTAGCTAAAGTAAATTATATACTATAAACTTCTGACAGAGCTAAAAATCTTTACCACAATGACTAAGGGATAGCCCAATTGAGAAAAAAATTAAAAATATTTCCAACTTGTTTAAAAATTACAGAATCTCAAGGAAACCAAAACCATTCCCTAGAATAAAGTACTCCGAGTAGTCTAAAGAAATACATGTTTTGGGGGCTGGGGTTGTGGCTTAGCAGTAGAGCACTTGCCTAGCATGTGCAAGGCCCTGGGTTTGATCCTTAGCACCACATAAAAATAAATAAAATAAAGGTATTATTGTGTCCAACTACAACTACAAACTAAATATTTTTTTAAAAACAGAGAAATACATATATTTGTATAAAGTTGTACTATATTCCTATGTTCTATAATACAAAACACCCTAACGATAAAAAATAACAACTCCCTTCCTAAGCAGTCCAGTTCACAACAAAGGAAACCATGTTCACTATGAAAAGGGTAGGTCAAGATCTTCCTTTCCACCCCAAAGCCTACTAAAGTAGCAAAAGAAAACACAAAAACAAAACAAAACAACCTCTCCCTAAAAAAAAGAACAAACACCATTGATTTTACTTCTAGGTATATGCCCAAGAAAAACAAAAACATATCCAAAGACTTACACATAAATATTAACAGCGGCATCAACCATAACAGTCATAAAGTAGAAAATAAGCCAATGTCCATTCAACTAAAGAATGGATAAGTAAAATGTGGTATAGTTATACAATGGAAAATCATTTGGCATTGAAAAGGAATGAAGTGCTGACAAATGCTACAGCATAGATGAACCCTGAAGACATTATCAGTTAAGAAACCTGTCACAAAAGTCCATATATGTATTATTCCATTTATATGAAATGTTCAGAAACAGGCAAATCAACAGTGACAGAAATTAGATTAGCTGTTGTCTAGAGCCAAGAGGGAAGGAAAAAACTTGAGAGTGATGGCTAAAGGGAATGAGATTTCTCTTCGGGAGACACAAATTCAGGACAATGACACCAAACCTAATGGTCACTGCCACAAAGTCATAATTTAAAAGGAAAATTCAGTTATTCTTCAGAATGTTTTGAAGCAGTAAAAAGTCTCAGTTTTACTACATCTCAACCTTAAGTATACATCTTTCCAATAATCTATGTATAGAAATGAGAAGTGTACATAAAACACTTTGACCTTATACCCAAGTACTACTGTGAATTCAAATTCAACCAGCTGTGCATATAATAGAGGGAGGTAGACACCAGACACATTTTTTCACCATTTTTACTTGAAGGAATGTACAGTTATTCAGGCCTAAATATTTGGGACATTTTTTCTCCAAAATGAATAAATACATGCTGCTTCAAAAGAAAACAACTAATGGTACTTGCTGCCAGCAATGAAAATTTATTTTTTAAAAATTTATTTTGTTTGGGCTGAGGCTGTAGCTCAAGTGGAAGAGTGCCCATCTTGCATGTGTGAGGTTCTGGGTTCAATCCTCAGCACCACACAAAAGTAAATAAAGATTTTGTGTCCATCTACAACTAAAAAATTAAAAAAATTTAAAATTTTATTTTATTTACTTATTTTTATGTGGTGCTGAGGACCAAACCCAGTGCCTCACATGTGCCTGACAAGCACTCTACCACTGAGCTACAACCCCAGCCCAAAAATTTATTTTTTAAAATAAAAATTTTAAATTTGGAAAAATTTACCTATCACCATAAGTTTACAATAGTTTTTCAACATTTAAAAGACCTTTCTTATAGGTTTGGTGGTGGTATTAACTATGTGGTTTTAAAAATATATTGTATGATAAATGTCTTATCATTTGAAAGATATGCCTTGACTCTGGAAACCAGCATTTTCAAAAGACCAAGCAAGTTTTTATTAAATTATGCATAGATAAAATACTGATTCAGGGTATAATAAGCCAGTGGATATTCACATAACAGTATAAAAAGTTCACTGATATAGATTTAAAGACTGCACATGACAACTATCCTTGAGAAACTACCACTTATCATGTTTTTGGCATAAAATTAAAGATGACTATATATCATAATAGTTTAGAAGTGCTATTAAGATAACTCCTCTTTTTCAACAGTACATGTATAAAGTCAGATTTTCTTGGTGAACTTTAACAAAAAATAACATTAGAAAACGTTTTTCAGGACCTTGGAGATAGTCACAGAACTTGAGATTTATTAATAGGATATAGTACACCAATGGATTTTCTAATCTTATTGCCTAATTAAGTATTTATATAATGTTGAGCTTTGTTTGCTTATTTTTATTTTGTACTTTTGCACAGATATACATAAAAGATGCTGGTTTTTAATTCTGGAGGTCAATCTTTATAATAAACAGTCACTATCAGGTCTCAAATATCAACACTAGGTACACACTGCTAACGTGCATGCAACCTGCTTCACTCTTTAGAGGGGCAATTCCACAATATCTAACAAAAATACAAATGTACTTCTTTTGACAGTTACAAATTTCTAAAAATGTTATCAGTACTTCGTTTTTTTTTTTTTTAATATTTATTTTTTAGCTTAGGTGGACACAATATCTTTATTTTATTTTTATGTGGTGCTGAGGATCGAACCCAGTGCCTCACGCATGCTAGGCGAGCGCGTTACTACTTGAGCCGTATCCGCAGCCCTAGTACTTCGTTTTTATTGTTTAAAAATGTTTGATCATATAGCTATATTTTGTCTGTATTTCATCAGCTAGTAGATATTAATGTTGTTTCCACTATCTGGCTATTTTGAATAATGTTGCTATGAATATCTGGGTATAATGTGTGGTGTGGACATTTTGTTTCACATCTCTTCAGTACAGACCTAGGAGTGAAACTGTTGGGTCACACACTTGGTAATTCTATGATTAACCTTTTTTTTTGGTATCAAGGATTGAATCCCAGGGGCATTTAACCACTGAGCCACATCCCCAGCCCTTTTAAAAATATTTTTCCTAGAGACAGGGTCTTGCTGAGTTCTTAGCGCCTCACTAAGTTGCTGGGCTTTGAACATGTGATCCTCCTCAGCTTCCCAAGCCACTGGAATTACAGGCATGAGTCACCACACTTGGCTTTGGTTAACTTTTAAGGAAATGTTTTCTATAGTGGCTACATCATTTTACATTCCTACCTAGAATCTACAAAAGTTCTAAATTATCCACATCCTTGTCAACACTTGCTATTGTCTATTCTTATGCTTATCGCAATCCTAGTAGGTGTAAAGGGGGATCTTTGTTGGGATACAGTACAGCAACAGAGCCTAGTATGCTCAAGGTCAATCCCCAGCATGTACACATACATCCTCCCCAAGAAGAAATGGGAATCTAACTTTTTATTTTTTAAACACCAAGGGTCAAATCCAGGGTCACCCCACCACTGAATTACAACTACAACCTTTTTATTTTGAGACAGGATTTCACTAAGTTGCTGAGTGGTTATTAGTCAATACCCATTACCTAATCTAATAACACTATTAGTGTTGTTGTAGACCTCCTAAGAGTGATTTTATTATATGACTGGTCTCATAGGAAATTAAATTTTACTGGGCCTTACCAAGTACCAAGCACTAAGAGGATATGAAATTGACTAAGACTTCCCACCCTGAGAAAGTTATAATGCACCAAGGGAAGGGGTAAACCATTACCAGAGGTGTATATTCAGCTTTCAGTGAGGATCAGGAGATAAGAATACATGAGAATAAGCATGTTTTGTTCCCTGACATAACTCCAGGATCTACAACAGTGTTTGCATACAGTGGAATACCAGATAATTATTTAGCCTTGAAGAATGAAGGCAATTTCAACTGTTTCTAGTTTTCCAAGATGAAGAAAGTTTCCTAAATGTAATGTAAATGAAAGAATGAGGCACATCATATATTATTCCTAGCAGTAAAGAGAAGAATATTAGAGTTCTAATCCATAGGATTTTTATTCATTTAAAAGTTATCTCTACCTTTCATATGATTAAGGATTTGCTCTTATTTGACAATAGAGAACATATTATTGCCAGGTTATTGCCAAAAGAACACAGATTCAAATCTTCACTTACTACTATCGCTTAAAGTCCACTTGCTCACCTCTACAAGAGCAGACTTTTTCATTCCTGTGTGGGTGTTTTTTGTTTGTTTGCTTTTTGTGTGTGGTACCAGGAATTGAACCCAGGAATGCCTAACCAATAAACCACATCCCCAGACCTTTTTGAGATAGGTCTCTGTGGGAGACCAACCTTACACGTGACTGAGTCACATTCCCTGGCTGGGTGCTGAGGTGCTCAGTCACAGAAATGTGTGCGGTGTCTCGTGCATGGATGTGTCTTGTGCATGGGTGTGTCTTGCTACAGCCCCATGGGTGAAGCTATGCTCACCTGTTCCTTTGTAATATAACTCCTTGCCCTGTTTAGGATAGAATCTTCCATGGAAGTGCCTTGTG